CTGAGGCTCATGAACATGTTTCAACACCAGCTGCCAGTTCTGAAAGCAAACAAATAACAGTCACTACAGTCCTGCCTGGATCGTGCTCTTTCAGAAAACCTGCAGCTTTCATCCAAAATATAGCAGCTTTTAGCTTCTACGTTTTCTTTACTGATCCTTTTCTGTGCAGCCACACTCCAGGCTCACTGTGACAAACATCACCGGGCTTTGCTGTCTAACACGTCTGACCTCTCATTTATCCAGGGTTTTCCTTTCATTTGTCTCCATCTTTCTGCCTGTTTGTTGTAGCTCAGACTTGATGGGCTAAGCTCTAATGACCAGTAGGGATTAAGCTGTTTAAATTGCAGAGTTTCAAATCCAGCAACATGTTAAAGGCTAAGAGCACTTTTCAGCCAAAAGTCCGGGTTTGGACTATTTACTTTCCACGCACACCTTTATTTATTTATTTATTTATTTATTTTCTTGGGCTGGGGAAATTCATCAGCAGTTTAACTTCTGATTTCCTACCACACCAAAGCGCGTTTACTAGACAGTAAATCTGGCGCTGCCATCCCGGTCGTTTGGGGCGCACACCCCACAAACCCAATCATTCGAGGTTATTATCCAGTTCGCTGCGTTTGTATTTCACCAATTTGTTATTTAACAACTACAGCGTTGTTAAGTTAACAAAGAACGCCAACTAATGGGACTAAAGTTTTGTTAAGCTGAAGTGACATCCGGATATACACTAGGCTCCAACCTGCTCGATACGTCAGCATCGCAGGTTCTGACAGGTTTCTCATTAATACATTTTTTAATCCATTCGTTCAGGGTTAAATGTGAATCTCGCGTAAATCGCTCCAATCTACTGGACAGCCACTTAAATGCGCTCCAGTGAGCGGACTGGGCTGTCTGCGCTCCGGTACTCACTCCATCGGCTCCTAAGGTTCCTCAGTCCGGGCTCCTTCCTTCTCCTCGTCACCGCTTCACTCATCGCTGTTTCGCTACACACACACACACACACTGGAAGTTTGTCCCTCAGCAGCGCTGACCAGTAAAATCACAAACCCCACCGCTCCACTTTATGGTCTCCATTCCCGCACACACTCCGCATCTTGACTTACACCGGTCCTCGTGCTTCAGTTCTGCTCTGTGAGCTGCGAAGCTCGCCCGTGTTGCGTTCAGGGCATGTGCGTAAAATGGATTACTGAACGGGCCTGCGTCACACAGGCCCAGGGACCCATTAGTTTAGGGGGACCCTGGGCCATAGCCTCTGCTTGAAGCGACCCTTACTGTAAAGTCAACCGGATGACTCGAAAAAGACACAAAACAACCACAAAGAGACACAAAACTACTACAAAGATACACAAAACCACAACAAACTGATGCAGCTGCAAATAAGTGCAAGAAAATAAATATAGTTGATATTATGTTTGGTCGATAGTTAACTGAAGTTCATCACTGAAGGTTTATCTAAGTTCATCTAGAAGCTCAACAGGTCAATAACAACAGAAACAAAACATGACTGTAGGGCTTAACAGCTGTGACTCTGATGCAACATACTGCACAGGCAGCGGCTCAGACGGCCTGACTGGGACAGAGCAGCGTTTACCTTCCTACTGTAAATATCAGAGAGCTGAGTCAGAGAGTCAGAGTTACTTAATCACAGGCTGGACTTCCAGAGCTTTCACAACTACAGAGGATAGTTTGTCAGGTGGCCTTTGAAACACTGACACATCAGAGGACTAACAGTCAGCACATTTCCCAACTGACTGTATTTATACCAAACAGTTTGCTGTCAAAGAATCGAGCAGTGATGAGGACTCTGCGGGAGAACGAACCTCCTCCCAACAGATGTACAAGCATTAAATCTTAGTTTAAACCCAGAAGAAGGGGGTCCACACACTGAACAGGTGTTCTTTCTGAATGCTGCCATGTCATGCTACCTTGTAACACACCTGCGTTCTTCACCTGGTCCTGAGCACTGTGCAGCTGTGAGGCCTCATCTGAGACGGACTCTAGGGTTCAAATGCAAAAGAAAAGTAAAGAGGTTAAGATCTGCAAGGCTGCACTGTTGGACGCAGCCTTAAATTTTCAAATAAAGTGCAAACAATTCCTCACTGGTTGGACGTCTGTATAAATTTTCAAATCAAGTGCAAACAATTCCAGTGTATTAAAAGTTCTGAAGTAATGCCACTATCACTGCAACTCAGATGTTTGAGAAACATCCGAAGGACAACTCAAAAGGTCATCAGATTAATTACACATTCTCCATATAATACCCCAACAAATCCCTTGTTTATTCAGTTGAAAACATTAAAATTTCATGACTTGGTAGACTTGTGTACTGCTAAACTTATTTATAAGGCAAAACAACAAACCCTCCCTCAGTCTTTGCAAGCTATGTTCAGCGTAAGGGAAAGTAATTATGACCTTAGAGGGACACATATGTTAAACAAACCTTATTGTGGAACTAAATTAAGGAGTAACTGCCCATTTAATAAAGGTGTTCAGTTGTGGAATAGTTTTCCTGAGGAAATAAAAACTTCATTACCACAGTTTAAAATACTTTATAAAAGAATGGTAATAAAAATATATACTTAATAATAATAATAATGATAATAATAATAATCACAATGCATGTTCTTCTAAATATATATTCAGAATATTCAGTATTTCTTTATATTAAATTTGTGTCCATTAGTGCTGCTTGTGTGGAGTAAGAGTAGGCATAATAAGCTTTAGCTTCAGCCTACACCTTTGATCAATAACATTGTTTTTTTACTTTGTATGAGTATGTGTGTGCATACATGCTTGTATTCAAATGGATGTATGTACCCTTATGTTTCATGCTTTTTTGTGTAAAATAATTGCAATTTTAATTTTGTTTGTTGACCAAAAAACCTAATAAATGAAATGAAATGAAATAAAGGAACCAACTGATTTAATTACTGTCATCAGCCCGGTAGATTTAAGAGAATAAGAGAAGTCGTCTGACTGGTAACTATGACTCTTTGTTTTTACCCTTCCTTGATTGCTCTCGGACTGATGAGAAAGACAGCAGCCCTCTCCGCCCTGTAAATCCACCCTCTTCATAACTGCTGTGCCTTTCTGCAGAAAATTCACATTGACATGATGAAATAGTTATTATCAGTAAACAAAAGGTTAACAGTGATGCAGGCGTTGTCTTCAATTAAACTAATAAAACTGAGTGTGAATTTGTGTTGTTACTTTTAATACGAAGAGATGAGAAGCCGAAACTCCTCCTTGTGTTTGGAGACAACTGCTGCTCCTCACTCTGAGAGAAAAGGGGATAAAGAGATTTAAATGAAACAAAAGACTGAAAGGTCATTAATACAAATCAATTTACGCATTAGAGAGAAAGATAAGTATCATTTACTGCCAACAAAACACACAAGTATATTTAAAACTCCAGTCAGTGTTTAGACCAAGTCAGTGACACTTGCTAACGCTAGTTTCTTCGTTGTTGTTTTAGTTTAGCTACAACTATTTATTAATACATGGTTAAATGTGCTTTATGTGAACGTTACTGCTTCTGCATGGGAAGACGCAGCCACTATTTATAGCCAGTCAAAAAGACAGGACATGACAATGCCCTGAGGGAAAACTCCCCAGCAGTATAACACACCAGTGTGCAAGTGGAATGCACTAGGGCGGGTTAGCAGAGCCCAGTATAACGTGTTTGTAATAATAGTTTGTTAAAGTAGAAAAACATTGTTTTCTGCTTTTGTCATCAGTGGAAATATCACTTTTCAGTTCCTGAAGGCTTTCTTGATTTCTGTCATCGATGCTTTCTGGGAAAACACCTCTGGCACAGGAAGTCATGAGCTTCAATTTTGTTGTTTGCTTTGAATAAATGAAAAAGAAACTGGGTGGTGGTGGTGAGCATGAGCAGAGACGGAGACACAGACAGGTGACAACCAAACACCGAGTCCCAGTGAAGTGCTGGGCCACCAGAACAGCTCCACCGTGGCACTAACGTTCCCTCATGTGGTGTTTTGATGCTGGTGGCGGTGGAGAACGAGAGGCCGGAAGGCCTGTGCACCCTTGTCTGTCCTCTAGTTCATCATTTACCTCATAGAACAAATGGGACCACACCTGCACCATACATGATGTGGTTTGTGCACCGTCCCCAATCCAAAACACACATTTATGACAAAATTCTATGTTTATTCATTTTATCTCTTCATCGTCATCTGTTTTATCTGCCTCTTAATGGCATTGTCTACATGTTGTTTTATGCTCTATGATTATCTTGTTGACTGTTTAGCATTGTTTTGTTTGTTTTAGTATTGTTTTAGTCGATAGCTATGTCTATACTGTGCAGCACTTTGGGCCCTTCTGAGTTGTAAAGTGCTGTATAAATGCTGTTTATTATTATTATTATCTTCAGTGAAGTCGAGTCACTGTGTTCTCTGCTGTTTTACAGTCTACCTTATACCCATACATTTGGAGAAAAAGGCCCCCCCACTCCTTTGGTCCTTCTGTCAGTTTGTTTGCTAGTTTTGCATCCCACAGTGTGTCTGCGTGTCACTTCCTTTGTGTCTCCTCATGGTCATGTTTCATTCCGAGTCTCTTTGGGATGATTTGGTATCTGTTTGTGTTCGGTTTGCATCCCTCTGTAGCCTTTTAACACCGAGGATGGATTAGTTCTGCAGAAGTTTTACTGTAGCAGTACTACTACTTCTCAGATTACTGAGTAAATAATGAACGATTTTTCCTACTGGCCTGGGATCCCCGACCTGAAGGGGCCTGAAAACTCCAGGTTCAGTTCAGGTTGTGTGGAGTTTGTGGTCATTTACAAACTCATATGATAATAATGTTTGTGATCTCATAAGCACCAAAAGAGTATGCAGGTAGTTTGTAAAATGAATACCACAGCAATGTAGTTTTTTATTTACAACCAACCCCGTCCCAGTGTTCTGCACTATATGATTACTGATGTGATGCATCAACACCGGAGCAGCATTTCTGTTGTAGTTGGCTGAAAACGTGAAATAATGTTGAGCAGTGTAATCTGCAAAAACGTCCAAACATATTTAAGTCATTTCCGTCTATAGCTGAATCAGTACAGTACAGTCTGGATATGACAACTTCTTCTTAATAGAAATGTTTAAAAAATGATCTAGAAATGAATGTGTTGTTAGACAACAACAAAACAAGGAAGGTTATTATATTAGAATTATGAAAAAAACTGTGTTTAGAAAATGGTGAAATTAGTTGATTTACATTCAAATGAGATAAAACTTTGCTACTAGGTCTTTTTAAAGCTGCACATTTTGTACATGGTTCAGCAAAATATTCAAAGTAACAAACAGTTGTTAGAAAAACACAGTGGAGTAGAAGAATAAATGGAAATTAAAGTAAGTAAAGTACAATTCGCTCATTAGTTTGGTTTAGTTAGTAAATATACTGTATTTGCTTACACTAACTTGAGATTATCCAGAAAATCTGAGAGGATCTGAGTTCAAACCTGCTAAAACTAGTTCCCACAAAGTACTAGCTGCTAGCTACATATACACATTGTACATGAAGTGGGAAAAGAAAGTGAAGATCACACTGCAGTCTGCACCTGCTTTGGTATGGAAACTCCCTGATGGAGCTGATAAACTGCTCCAACACTGTGAACTGGACCCACACCAGTAGCAAACTCTTAAAATAGCAAGTTTTTTTCATGCTACAACAAATATAGTATTCACTATGCAACTTGTGCAAAGTTGTGCAGGAAGTCACAGTAGTTTTACACACATTTACCCTCACATGAGTAGGTTTGCCCCAACCACACAGAACAGCACCACAGAATGTGAAATTGAAGATCAGATCAAAGCTTTCTGACATGTGATTATTACAGGAAATATCACGTTATGAAATGTCTTCCTAGTAACGTCTTTAGAGAAACCTTTGGTTTCCTAATTCAGACGTCTCAGTCTCAGTTCATGTTTGGTGGCGTGAACATGAAAATCACAGATAGGCTTATTTTAAAAAGTGCTGCAGCCTGGACTTTAAAATCACAACAAGCCTGGGTTAATGGAGGAGCACGCTCTCACCTGTACCGTCTTCTCCATGTCTCTTGGCTGCGCAGATCAAAGGCAGGTGTATCCGCTGGCTTCAGGGTTACTGATCTGACTCTGGCATAACGCTGATCTCATTCCTTCATTAGTAAAACACACATGCAAAACGTTCCCATCCAGAGCATGTGCAATCGCCTTGTGTGACTGTTAATAGTAAGACTGAAGCAACAAGTGCACATATATGAGGAAGCGTTCTTGTAATGTGTGGTTAGTGAACTTCAGTCTCAGTCTGGGATTTCCTCTTTCAGTGTCAAAGCAAAGTACAGTGACGCAGGCGACACAGTGTGGGTGTGTTTGTTTTGTGCAGTGAAACCTGTTCCTCGGCCTCTGAAACCAGTCAGTCCATGCACTGTTTGGAATTGTAAAGCGATGACAATAGCACACTCACTACAATATCTTCAGTGAAAGTACTGCAGTGACAGTGTCTTAAATGAAAGTACTGTAGTAATAGTACCTTCAGTGAAAGTACTGCGGACAGTACCTTGAGTGAAAGCTCGGCAGTGACATTATCTTCAGTGAAAGTATTGTAATAATAGTACCTTCAGTGAAAGTTCCGCAGTGACAGTACCTTGAGTGAAAGCTCGGCAGTGACATTATCTTCGGTGAAAGTACTGCAGACAGTACCTTCAGTGAAAGTTCCGCAGTGACAGTACCTTGAGTGAAAGCTCGGCAGTGACATTATCTTCGGTGAAAGTACTGCAGACAGTACCTTCAGTGAAAGTTCCGCAGTGACAGTACCTTGAGTGAAAGCTCGGCAGTGACATTATCTTCGGTGAAAGTACTGCAGACAGTACCTTCAGTGAAAGTTCCGCAGTGACAGTACCTTGAGTGAAAGCTCGGCAGTGACATTATCTTCGGTGAAAGTACTGCAGACAGTACCTTCAGTGAAAGTTCCGCAGTGACAGTACCTTGAGTGAAAGCTCGGCAGTGACATTATCTTCGGTGAAAGTACTGCAGACAGTACCTTCAGTGAAAGTACTGCAGACAGTACCTTCAGTGAAAGTACTGTAGTAATAGTACCTTCACTGAAAGTACTGCAGACAGTATCTTGGGTGAAAGTACTGCATTGTCAGTATCTTCAGTGAAAGTACTGTAGTAATACAGTAATAATTGATTTGCATATGTTTCATTCATCATGTGATTATGTATATGTACTTGATTGTGTTGGGTTTGTTTTTAACTTTTAACGTATTTTTTTATTTTGTTTTATATTTTTATATTTTTAGTGAGTTATCTATTCTATTTATTGGTATGTGTGCTTGATATTGAGTGTGAACCGCTGCTGAAACAATTCAATTTCCCAGATTGGGATTAATAAAGTATTTCTATCTATCTATCTATCTTCAGTTGGGGGAGCCCCATACTACACAGGAACGCCAAACCGTGACGTGTCCCTGGTGCCAGCTTTGCAGCTGGCCATAGCAGTAGTCAAAACATGAAGTAAATCAATGTGTGTGTGTCTGTTGATTAAGTGGTGTGTAGCTACAGTTAAACACATCATAATAATAATATTAAACACCCTGTCTGCTGACAGTCATCAACTTTTCTCTCTAGTTATCCTTGACCAGATGCACCCTGTAAAAACTCATGAGCATGACTAAGCATTTAACAGTTTAACTAGACACCCTATCTCCACTAAACATTTCTACTACATAAAGTATCTAAAAAATACCTATCTGACTAAAAATACCTAACAACCGTAAATATTGTATATGACCAAACCTAAAATTCGGGGCCCTGTCTTGCTTCAGCCCAATTTAGCCCTTCTGTTAATCCAGCTTTGGGGAAGACCCAGCAGGAATCTTCAGTGAAAGTACTGTAGTAATAGTACCTTCAGTGAAAGTACTGCGGACAGTACCTTGAGTGAAAGCTCAGCAGTGATATTATCTTCAGTGAAAGTACTGTAGTAATAGTACCTTCAGTGAAAGTACTGCAGATGGTACTTTGAGTGAAATTACTGCAGTGACAGTATCTTCAGTGAAAGTACTGCGGACAGTACCTTGAGTGAAAGTACTACAGAAAGTACTTTGAGTGAAAGTACTGCAGTGGCGGTATCTTCAGTGAAATTACTGCAGTGACATTATCTTCAGTGAAAGTACTGTAGTAATAGTACCTTCAGTGAAAGTACTGTGGACAGTATCTTCAATGAAAGTACTGCAGTGACAGTGTCTTCACTGAAAGTACTGTAGTAATAGTACCTTCAGTGAAAGTACTGCGGACAGTACCTTGAGTCAAAGCTTGGCAGTGACATTATCTTCAGTGAAAGTACTGTAGTGACAGTACCTTGAGTGCCAGTACTGCATTGGCAGTATCTTCAGTGAAAGTACTGCAGACAGTACCTTGCAGACAGTACTTTGAGTGAAAGAAGTGAAGTGACAATGTCTTCAGTGAAAGTACTGTAGTAATAGTACCTTCAGTGAAAGTACTGTAGTGACAGTACCTTGAGTGCCAGTACTGCATTGGCAGTATTTTCAGTGAAAGTACTGTAGTAGTAGTACCTTCAGGGCAGTTTGTTCTCACTTCATCTACACTTTCAAC